CAAGTGCTTTTAGCCACTATGCTACCAGAGCTGTTAAACTGTGTCATAGTTTAATTGGCAATGTTTCTTAATAGTATATAAAATAACAGTGAATATTATAATTGATAATTTCTTGAGCTTTACTACCTTAAATGGAGATATTTTATGAATGTTTTACACACTTTTTGTCATCTTTAAGAAGATATATTAACCATTCTGTAATCTTAGATTTATTAATGAAATACCCACGTGGGCTTTGGGTGGTAAGCAGACTTGATCTTGAGTCTTGGTTTTGCTGCTTATTAGTTGTGTATACTTGGTCAAGTTTCTTAGCCTCCCAGAGTCTTTTCTTCATCCATAAAATTCAAATAAACTGATTCAGTTTATTTTAGTATCATTATGTTACAGAGGAGAAATAAAGTGTGAAAGTATAAAGTCAAAATCCTTTTTTTTATCCCCCCCAATTGAAAGCCTAAATCCTGCCTACCCACTGCCATCAAGTTTCTTCTGACTCACAGTGACCCGCATTAGGTTTCTGAGGTGGTAAATCTTTACAGAAGTAGATTGCCCCATCTTCTTACCAAGGAGCAGCTGGTAGGTTTGAACCATCAACCTGCTGGTTAGCAGTCAAATGCCTTAGGTACTGCACCACCAGAGCTCCTTTATATCATGCCAGTACTCCAGTATGTTACTAAGGCACTTTCGTATCTGTTTATCCACAAATGACAATATCATGCTAAGGCAAGATAGTTCAGTTTGCCTAAGGTTTATAATGTATGTTTTTGTTGTTGTTATGTGCTGTCGAATCGGCCCCGACTTATAGCGACCCCTCTCCTTGGGTTTCCGAGGAGGTATCACTATGGAAGTAGATTGCCCAACCTTCCTTCCTTCCAAGGAGTAGCTGGTGGGTTTGAACCACCAGCCTTGTGGTTAGCAGTCAAATGTCTTAGGCACTACACTACCAGAGCCCCTTTATAATGTATATGTATAATTATATAGGATAATGCCTTTGTGTCATGCCATGTTTGTTTTTTATGCACTATTCACACAAAATGCTTTATTTCTTATATTTAACTGTCAAGATAGGAATACAAGCACAGTATCTTCACATTTGTTTTTATAGGAGGTTATCCCAACTTTTGACATGGCTGTCAATGAGATCTTCTTTGATCGTTTTCCTGACTCAATACTGGAGCATCAGATTCAAGTAAGACCATTCAATGCATTGAAGACTAAGAATATGAGAAACCTTAATCCAGAAGGTAATATTTTTAATCGAAATAACTTTCCATGAAAATAGAATTTATTTCATCAAAGAACTTTAAAAGAATTGACAGTGGGGTGGGGGGCCTGTTTATGGATTATAAATTGAGAAAATACTAGCAAATTCACTTACCCTGTACACTTAGGGGCCCAGTGCATCTATGAAATAGAATCTCTGCCCTTCCGCTTAAAAAGAAATTAAGTTTGGGAAATAAATAAAAGAAGGGGCAAAATAACAGAAAAATAAACACTAGTGTTGATATTTTTCAAGAAGAAAAATAACTGCTGTGAAAACACTATTGAGAAGCTCATAGTAGTTTAAATGTACATGATACATTGAAGCTTAGTTAGGAGACTGACAAATAGGAGACTATTTGACTCAACTATGGGAAACGGGCCCTAACCAGGATAGTGGCCATAGACATGAAAATAAAGGACAAAAGAGATGGCTTGCTGTGCATGAAGAGTGAAGTAAATATTAACAATTAATAAATACTTACGTATATAGAGGTATATTTCTTTTAAAAAAGATAATAAGATTAAAAAAGGTTATTATTATTAAAAAAAGATAATAAGAGAAGGCAAGTGTTCTACTTCACTTTTTGTTAAAGGAATGAAATTTTGTTTTCGCTCTGTTGGTACCCAAACCAAACCTATTGCCGTCAAGTCAATTCTGACTCATGGTGACCTTATATGACAGAGTAGAACTTTCCTTGGGGTTTCCAAGGGTGTAATCTTTATGGGAGTAGCTGGTGTCCTTTCAGTTAACGGTTGAGTACATTAACCACTGTAATGCCAGGACTCCTTTTACTGGTACAGTTAAGTGTAAAGACAAGATAGTAGCTGTGTGATTATTTTGACAGGTTGTTTTAGAGCAGCAATGCCATGCAAGTGAAATTATTGCAGTTCATTTTCTTTGTGGTGTTAACAGTTAAGAAATCTTAGGCAGATACTGTTCTTTATAATTAAAGCTATGAATGAGCTATATAAGAAAAGACATGGGGGGTGGGGACCAGGTAAATATTATTATACACACAATCCTGCAATAATAATAACAAACAACATCTATAGTAGATAAATAGGTAGACATGCAGGCTAAACAGGTGTGGGAAAGTGAATGGGAGTACACCCACGAGTATATCTCAGTTTGGCAGAGGATATTTCTGTATATGTATTTGTATGTGCAGACCAAGAATATTATAGAGCAGAGGAGCAAAGTTCTGAAAACTTCTTAGCTGTAAGCACTTTGAGGGAATGACTTACGGGGCTTGGGAACTTAGGACCACAGTCTCAAGGGACAACTAAGTCAGTGGTAGTAACATAGTCCATAAAGACAGTGTTACACATCCTACTTCAGTGAGTAGAAACTGGAATCTTAAAAACTTGTGAGTGGCCATCTATGATATAACTCTTGGGTCTCTTTCCATCTGGAGCAAAGATAGAAAATCAAAGCCTCAAGGAAACAATTAGTCCAAAGGACTGCTGTGATGAGCATCATAATAGAAAGTCCTAAACAAAGGGAAAAAATACAGAACAAAAATTTAAAACATAAAAAAGGCCAGACATACTGGTCTCATAGAGACCACTGGAACCCCTGAGACTGTTGCCCTTAGACTCCTTTCAGGCCTGCCTGAACCCATCGCTAGGGATCAGCTTTCAGCCAAACAATAGATAGGCTATAAAGTGAATGACGATACCGGCAAGGAGTATTATCAATACAATCAACCATACAAGACCAAAAGGGCAGCATTTGCCCAAAAACAGAACTCAGAAGGCAGGAAAGAAGAACAAATGGAAACAGGGAACCTAGGGAGAAGGAGGAAGATTGATATTACTTTGAGGGAACAACTAATGCAATGTCACAAAACAAAATATGTATAAATTGTTGAATGGAAAACTAATATGCTCTGTAATGTTTCATTCAAACTACAAAAAAAAAAAATAGAGCATGAAGACTGCAGAGAGCCAAAGACTTCTGCACAGCACTCACATAGAAGGAGACAAAGGGAGAGTCGAATCCAGTAGTGTTGACCATGAAGCCATCACTGAATCAGGGTCCTTTGTACAATGAATCATAACTGGTAAAGAGTAAGAGGATTGAGCAAAGGTGGCCTTTTTATAGCAGGATTTAGTAAAAACAAATGACTGGGTATAAACACAGACTTATCAAAGGAAAGCAGGGCTCTAAAGGTACAAGAAGTGAGTACAAGGCACAAGTAAAGTGGTTAACCTATAAGAAACTAATAAGATTTATTCCTCATAGGTTCCCTCATGAGGAATAAAAATAAGAAAATGGAAGATATTGCTGATGACTTTGGTCTTCAGAGAGGAGAGGATAAGAAGGGCAGATGAGAGATAAGGAGGGAGATTTGAGAAAGATGGTAGGAGTAGGATATTCAGGATCCTAAGGTAAAAGAAAGTTGAGCAGTAGCAAGGCCCAATTTAAAACTATAGTCAATCGCTACTTCTTGTCACTACTTAGTAAACTGCCTAAACTCTTGGAGTGTTAATATTTTTACCAGTGGGTCTGAAAGCATTTCAGATAGATATAAAGTCTTAAGTGTAAACAAGATTGGGGTTTTAATGAGAGTTCTTTTTTCATAGTGATCATTTAATGTATTCAGACCGGGTAGTGGAAGGACAAAGAACAGTAGAAGAGAGTTCCGAGGTTCGTGGCTGCCATGATGGACGTATGTGTGTGGGCAAGACCCCAGGGTATTAGCATGATATTACCACTTGGCTGATGCTGAATCCAAGCTATTAAGGAAATTAGAGGACTGATCAGTGATTGTCTGGGACATGGATGGTGTTCGAGTGTTCTGGTAGGGGTGCTACACAAAGTAGGACAGTTGTGTGTAGGTTAGGGGATATGCTTTTAAGTTTCCAAAGGTAGAGCATTATTACATGAAGAATTCTGTGTATGATGGAGATTGTTATAGTTTAGAAGTCAAAGGGTTGGCTGCGAGATGGAGAAATCACTCGCTAGAGTGTAGATACTTGTTCTTGGTGATGGGAAAAGTAGTGCAGAATGTGAATGTAATGAGCAAAGCTTGATAAAAGTAAATGATGCCACTAAGCACACAAGAGAAAAGGATGTTAGTGCTAAAGTACATGGCATAAAATTTGTTAACAGCACCAACATAACCAAAAAGTGACTGTTTGGTCCCATACCCATACTACAGGAATATAGGCATATACATGTAGGTACTGTTTAGTACATATGTGTGCGCACAGAGAAGTGTCTATATCTATGTACTTACAGATGTGTGTACACATGTATGTCTTTATAGAGGACACAGTTACAGATACTTCTCAGCCATAACTAAAACACCTTGCAAAAATGGTTTTCTTGGTTTGAAAGCTTAATTAAGACTTCAGTCTCATGGGACAACTCAGTTATTTGGCATCACAAAGTTCAAGTTCTGCATCTTACTAGGGTGAGTAGCACCTGGGGTCTTAAAAGCTTGCAAGTAGTAATGTAACAAGCAACTCTTGGTCTCTGCTGCTTAACTGGAGCAAAATACAAAAAAGGAAGCCAAAGTCTCAGAGAAGAACCTAGTCTGCAGAGCTAATGGCCTACATGAACCACACCTTTATCTACCCTGAGACAAAAAGAACTAGATGGTGCCTGGCTACCACTATTAACCATTCCAATCAAAGCCGCAATAGATGGACCTTGAGAGAGTGGAAGAAAATGTGGAGCATAACTCAATTTCTTATAAAGTCCAAACTTACACAACTAGTTAAAACTGGAGGATTCCCCTAAGATTGTCACCCTGAGATACTCTGTAAACCTTGAACAGAAACTATTCCCTGAGGTCACCTTTTAGCAAAATAACAGATTAATATACAAAATAAAGGATATTATCTGCATGTATGATGCTCCACTAAAAAACAATGAGACCAGGAAGTCAACAGATACTCTAAAGCAGAGATGTGAAGATATGGGGATAGGGAAGCAAGTACTGGAAAAGGAACAATGAGAAAGTAATTAAAGAGAATATTGACACACTAGGGAAATGTAATCAGTGTTGCTGAACAATTTATTTAGAAATTGTCGAATGGGAAATTAATTTGCTTTGTAAACTTTCACTGAAAACATAATAAAATATTTTTTTAGAAAAGGAGAGCAGGACAGCAAACCCATAATAAAGTCAAACCCATTTGAATTGAAAAGGGGCAGGGGGGAGTTCCAAGAGTTGAGTTCAATTTTAAAGTCAAAGAATGATTGGTGGATGAGGAAGCAAGGAAGATGTGTCAACAAGTGGAGGAGAGCCAGGATCAGATTAAAAAAAAATTGCCTTGGAGTCAATTCCAACTCATAGTGACCCCTGTTGGGTTTCCAAGTCAGTAAATCTTTATGGAGGAAGATTGCCCAGTCTTACTTCTGAAAGTCAATCTACCAGTCAATAAAGCCAGCAGCAATTAACTACAGGCCATGTTTTGTGACCACAAAGGATGAAAACACAGTAGTGAGAACTTGGTTGAGGGTAATATGACCAAAGAATAAAGGGGACAGGTCCATGGTATAGAGAAAATATGAGTAAGACAGAAAGATGGCTGTGTCTGTAGATCATAGTAATTGAGTGCTTACTCTTTACTACTCACTGTTTTAGGCTTGATACATACTGGCTCAATCGTCTGTACAATCTTGAGAGGTTAACACTGTGGTTACCCTCACTTTGTGAATGAGGGCTATGAGGCAGAGAAAGTTTAAGGGGCTTCCCCTAACATGGATACAAGGCAGGCAGTTGCATTTGGGTTCAGTGTTTTTACCACACACTGAGATGGCAGAACATCCCCACGATGTGGTAACGGGAAGGAGGTCCTGGGTAAAATGGGTAGAAAGTTGCAGCTTTTATTCCAAAGCCAAGAAGAGAAGTGGAATGGGATAATGGTGACCCCACAGAGTTCCGTGAGGTATCTAGTCATTCATGCATGGTCCCATAGTGAACTTGGGGAAAGAATTCGACCTCTCCTGAGGTGGCTCTGTGACTTCAGCATTCCTTCTGAACCTGCCCTGATGGGAATCTCCTTAGGAGAAGATCTTCCAGGCAGGGCTAGTAGAGCAGCCTCTCTGTTTGCCTGCAGATATCGATCAGCTCATCACCATAAGTGGCATGGTGATCAGAACTTCCCAGTTGATTCCAGAGATGCAGGAGGCCTTCTTCCAGTGCCAGGTGTGCGCGCACACAGCCCACGTAGAGATTGACCGTGGCCGCATTGCTGAGCCCAGTGTATGTGATCACTGCCATACAACCCACAGCATGGCTCTTATCCACAACCGCTCTGCCTTCTCCGATAAGCAGATGGTGAGCCCCTTCCCCTACCTCCCTTCTTGCCCATTCCCCATGCCCCTTCCTCCCCTTCTCTCAGTACACCCCTTGCTGCCCTCCAAAAGCCCCTTATCCCTATTCCTCCATGTGCCTCTTCAGGCCTTCCAGCCAAGACCAAGGACACAGGGAAGGGACCCATATAAATGTATTCTCCCTTTATCTATATACCCCCAAAAGCCACATTTTAAAACTTTGCTTCCTAAATGGCGTTCAGCTTTTTCCTCTCAAATGGTAGATTTTTGTCTGCAGGTTGTGGGCTGGAATATTTGAAGCATTCAGTCACAGAGTTGCTGTTTTACAGCTAGTGAAACAAAAATTGCCATCAAGTTGATTCCAACAGAGTAGAACTGCTCCATAGGGTTTCTAAAGCTGTAAGTTTTTATGGAAGCAGACTCCCACATCTTTCTCCTGTGGAGCAGCTAGTGTGTTTGAACCACTGTTTGGTTAGAGCCAAGTGCTTTAACCAATGCACCGACAGACCTCCTTTATTGTTAGTGAACTAGTCCATTATTTTACAGTTGTACATTATTGTAGACCTAAAATGTTTTATAATAAAAGAAAAAGTATATTCTCCAACTATTAAAAAAGAAGAGTTGCCATGGAATCGATTCTGACTCATGGCAACCCTATATGTATCAGAACTGAATTCCATGGGGTTTTCAATGACTGATTCTTTTCAAAGTAGGTCATCTGACCTTTCTTCTGAGATGCCTCTGAATAGACTACAGCCCCCAGCCTTTTGGTTAACAGTCAAGCATGCTAACCTTTTGCACCATGCAGGGACTCTTCTTCCATTATGCTCACTGCCATCGAGTCAAACTGACTCAAGGGACCCCTCCTGGGTTTCCGAGGCAGTATCACTACAGAAATAGATTGCCCAACCTTCCTTCCAAAGAGTGGCTGGTGGGTTAGCAGTCAAATGACTTAGGCACTACGCTACCAGAGCCCCTATAGACATCTTAAAAATTTAATATCAGTTATAAGTTACCAAAGCAAATCTGCCTACTCCTGAATTTGACTTACTAAATTTAACATGAGAGGTTTTTATGGAAAGTAATTTAAGATTGTTTAACGTGTTTTAGGTAAGTCAGATAGGAATATATACAACATTTGAGCACAGTAAAAATTATTTGGTTAAATTCTGTCATTTTACAACTGTCTACTAGTAATTAATAGATGTGAGATACAAGTTTTATTGGAAGTTTTAACTTTTATCTTTTGATCATGAAATTTACATTTGATGTAACTTATGTTTATTGTCACCTAGAAATAAGGGGAGGCAGAAAACTTACTAGATATGATTTTAGTAGTATAAAAGTATATGCATGAAGACTAATATGTTTAGTTTTATTGATTTTATTATAATGTGTGAAGAATTTCTCTTTTTCTTTTTTATTAGCTGGAGAAAATATGTTCAAAATAGTACAAAAGGTAATTTCCCTTAAAGGGAGTCAAAAAAGTAATAATAATAGCGAATCTGAAAAATATGTTTATTTCTAACCAAACAGATGAAAATTAAAATAAAATTATTCATTTAATATTGGCAGAGATTATTGGGACCTCATTTCACATTGGTGCAGTACTGGCAGCTGGAGAGAGAAAGAAAAAACCCTTGCTCCCCAAGGGTTTGTGCCCAAAGACCCCCAGACTGACTTAAAATAAAACCTAAAGCCAAGTATCACCTCCAAGTCCTATATAACGCAACATCACCCCACAACATACCTTATACCCACAGACTTCTGACATCCACTTCCTTATTTACAGCACCTCAGCCAGGCATGTACCTACCTCAGGGCATTTACACTTGATGTTTCTTCAGCTGAGAACACATGACTTCTCCTCAGAGGTCACCTACTTAAAAAGCATCTCCCTAACCTTGGTTTGTGGAAAAAATCTCCTCTACTCCACCCTAACATTTTTACGGGAGCTCTGGTAGCATAGTGGCTAAAAGCACTTGACTGCTAACCAGAAGGCTGACGGTTCAAACCCACCAGCCACTCCTTGGAAGGAAGGTTGGGCAATCCTACTTCCGTAGTGATACTGCCTCGGAAACCCAAGGAGGGGTCGCTATGAGTCGGGGCCAGACTCGATGGCAAACAACAACAACAACTCCACCCTAACATTTTTACATTCCTTGCACTGTTTTTTCTTATCTACTGTGCTTGTCAGTGTCAGATCTGTTATGTGTCATTTGCCTGTTTGTTTATTGTGTGCTCCTCTTTACCCCATGAGGGCAGGACTCTTAACTGTGTAGTCCCAGACGCCTAACAAATACCTATCAGGTAGATGTTTGTAGATCTATCCATAGGCAAGTATCTGCTATGCACACAGTGACAAGGAAAGGTGCACAGAATTGCTAAAGCTGAGAATCTTGAAGATGTGTACTCACAGCCCACGAATTCTACTAGAAGTAACTGTTCTAAAGAAACAATTAGAAATGTGGGCAAAGATTATGCACAAAGAGATGTTTTACAGCCTTATGGTGGCAAAAAAGTGGGAGCCACCTAAGTCCTCTCCTTCAAAAAAAGATGAATGTTAAAATAAGCTACATCCTTACAAAATGTTTTCCCATGTCACATGAAAAATCAGTCATACTCCATTCTCATATGTCCTCCATCTGTTGTGCTCTCCTATCAGATCAAACTTCAGGAGTCTCCTGAGGATATGCCAGCAGGACAGACACCTCACACGGTCATCCTTTTTGGTCACAATGATCTTGTTGACAAAGTCCAGCCTGGCGACAGAGTGAATGTCACAGGTAAGAGCCATAGTTTATGTTGACATAGTCAGGTACCTGACTGGCTCTCAGTTGTGCTTTTTATAAATCCTCCAACTTAATCATGAGTATACTAGAGCAGGTTTGTTAGCCTGAGAACGAGGCAGAGGAGGCAGTCTTTCAGGGATTCCCAAACCTGGATTTTGGAGCTCGTTGTCCTCATCCTAGGGTTATGTGTGTATATTCAGTTAGTGGTATCATGAGAGAGCAGCTTTGGACTGGCTGTTATCAGCAGGCTTTGAGCTCTGCAGTTGTAAACAAAGTTCTCCCCATTTCCCAAATGCCAGCTAAGGGTTGAAATTGTTCATGTAGAGAAGGCTGAAACAGGGATACCTTGTTCTTATTCTAAACATTTTGTTGTATTTTTTATATTGGGATAGACTCAGATTCAAAGCTGTGTATGTAACATTAGCTAAGGTTCTGTGGTAAGATACAGAGCCAAGATTCAGATCTGCTTCTCTTTGTGCCAAGACAATCCTCTTTCTTTCACTATAGTAAGGTGCAGTTTCTTCAGATGCTGGAAAAGAATATGGTCATTTTGTGTCTCAGGTGTGTGCATAGCAGTCCTCTTCTGTCTGATGGGTAGTGTGAGAACTGATTGCTTCTCAGAGATGGTGGAGAGCCTATCAGTCCTAGTGTCAGCTGGCCAATCCCTGGCTCTCATTTACCTGCCCTTCTACTAACTGAGTAAAGATTTCCAATCTCAGTTTTGAAAAAATAGGTGTAGAGGTTGAAAATTGGAGTGAGACTGTAGTATTTAGAAATGAGAGGGCAGACAGTGTTAGCAGCTCTTCAGCACGTGAGTGTTACGATTTTCTGCCATTTTGTCAACCACGTGTTGTAGTATTAGATGGCTGCAAATCTAAGAGTCCTGTGATTTTGTTTAAAAAAAAGTTGAACAAGCAGTAGAAACAGCATTTTTTCCCCCTTGTTTCAAAATGGAATTCAAGGATTAACACATGATAGGGTTTGGGGAAGGGCTATGGCATTGATCAGTACCATGGTGTGAACAGAAGTCACTACAGACAGGGTGCAGAAAGATACCCAGGCCACTGAGAATCTATTTGGGAGCAAGAGTAATACTACTGATGTGTGTGTTATATGTAAGCTGGCTTTTATGTGTTATCAAAGAACTATATGGAGCTATTAGCTATACAAAGGCAGTAAAAAAATACCGAAAACCAAACACGCTGCCATTGAGTCAGATCCGACTCATAGCAACCCCTCCTTGGGTTTCCACGGTGGTATCACTACAGAAGTAGATTGCCCAACCTTCCTACTGAGGAATGGCTGGTGGGTTTGAACCACCATTCTTCGGGTTAGCAGTCAGATGCCTTAGGCACTATGCCACCAGAGCTCCTAGTCATGGTCTTATGCATGAACTCGGTGAGAGGGAGCAGAAAGCTGGCAAACAGTCATTTCTTCTTCCCCTTTGAACAGTAGATTGTCTTACTTTCTATGAAATTTTCAAGATTTCCTTTTTCAGTGTTTTTCATTTTGGATTTTAGCATTTTCTTCCTGTCAAGTAAAAAAAAAAAAACCAAACCCATTCCCTTTGAGTCAATTCTGACTCATAGTGACCCTGTAGGACAGAGTAGAACTTTCCTGTAAGGTTTCTAAACCTATAATCTGTATGGGAACAGATCACCAGTTCTTTCTCCAGTGGAACAGCTGGTGGGTTTGAACCACTGACCTTCTGGTTGGAAGACAAGCACTAGCCACTGCACCACCAGGGCTCCTTATACTCAGCTTAAGGGAATGAACATATTCGTATCAAACATAAGCCATGAGCTAGGCTTTGTGTTAGAAGCAGAATAATTTCATGTAACCCTCAGCACCGTGTGCTATATGGTTATGCTTGGAGAACCCAGTGTTATAGAGCCAGCTAGTGGTCACAGGTGAGAAAGTGTTCAGGTCTGCCTTTTGAAAAAATTGCTCTTTCCATCATGCCCTGCCTCCTTCCTGCTGCCACACTCCCACCTGAGAGAGTAGGCCTGAGTCCTCAGCTTGGATAGCACAAAGGGAGCTAACTGTAGGTATCCTTTGAATAGATGTGCTTGTCCTCTCTCCTTTTCTGGGCCAGGCTTCTTAGTATGCCACTTGTCTGCCCTGGTTTATTGAGCCTGTCAGAGTCACAGTGTGTCTCATGGTTGCTGCTCTTAGGCATCTACAGAGCAGTTCCCATCCGAGTCAATCCAAGAGTGAGTAATGTGAAGTCTGTTTATAAGACCCACATTGATGTCATCCATTATCGGAAAATGGACGCAAAACGCCTGCATGGGCTTGATGAAGAAGCAGAACAGAAACTTTTTTCGGAGAAACGTGTGGAACTGCTTAAGGAACTTTCCAGAAAACCAGACATTTATGAGAGACTTGCTTCAGCCTTGGCTCCAAGCATTTATGAACATGAAGATATAAAGAAGGTAAACAGTGAACTTTTTAAATTTGTGAGATTTGCACTTCTCTGGTATTATGCATTATAAACATACACACACATCGCAACTTCCTCACTCCTGGATAAAGGATAAGAGCTTGCTGTTTTTACATAATAAGGTACTCACAGCATTACCTTATCATAAATTGAGAAAAATCACAACATCGTTATCTATTTCCTGGTCTCTATATTAACCTTTCATGTTCTAAACCTAAGAATGGGAACTTAGATGACCATAATTAAAGCCCTGTAACATTTTATTTTCTTCATATCTTTCTTTAGTCTTTTTCTTACAGTTTTTTTATTCACAGAGCAGAAAAGTACTTCTATAACATTTTAACAAAATCTGTTATTCTGTAGTCAGTTAATGTTCAGACATGTTTTCTTCTTAGGGAATTTTGCTTCAACTCTTCGGGGGAACCAGAAAGGATTTTAGTCACACAGGAAGGGGCAAATTTCGTGCCGAGATTAATATCCTTCTTTGTGGTGACCCTGGGACCAGTAAGTCCCAGCTGCTGCAGTATGTCTACAACCTGGTTCCCCGGGGGCAGTACACGTCTGGGAAAGGCTCCAGTGCTGTTGGCCTCACTGCCTATGTGATGAAGGACCCAGAGACAAGACAGCTGGTCCTGCAGACAGGCGCTCTTGTCCTCAGTGATAATGGCATCTGCTGCATCGATGAGTTTGACAAGATGAATGAAAGTACAAGATCAGTGTTGCATGAAGTGATGGAACAACAGACTCTCTCCATTGCAAAGGTTAGCTGTTTTCATCACTGCATAAACTGGAACACTTTAAATATGTAGATATATGGAAAATAATGTCAGAACGATCAGTATTACCATGGTTCTAACTTAAGGAAACTGGTTAATTTTTTAAAGATATTTCCCAGTTTAAAAATGTTACATAACATTACTCCTTACATTATATTTGGGAGCTCTGGTGACATATTGCCTAAGGCATTTGACTGCTAACCAGAAGGCTGGTGGTTCAAACCCACCAGCCACTCAGAAGGAAGATTGGGCAATCTACTTCTATAGAGATACTACCTTGGAAACCCAAGGAGGGGTTGCTATGAGTCAATTTGACTTGACAGCTGTGAGTTTGGTTTTCTAAAAAAAACATTGTATTTTAGCTGAATCTCTTGAATGATTTCTGCAGTGTCCTCTTTAGTGTTTCTTGCTGTTCTGGTCACTAAAGTGCGGTATTTGTAGAACTTGCACAATACTCCTACAAGAGTTATAGCTTCTGAAAATGACATGGTTATAGCATGCATTCATCTAAAACTCAATTCTTACAGGAATCCAAAATAAGAACTTTTTGTTTGTAAAAGATTCTGTTCCATAGATTTTTTTTTTTCCCCCCTAATTCAAATATGAATATCATATTACATTTTTAGTCTCAGATTCCTCCTTTATGACCCTAAGAGACAGGTATTAAATAGGGTCTTGGTTTGTGTGGTGTTAGTAATTCTGAGGATAAAAGAAGTGACGGGTGGCAAGACAGACCAGGAAGCAATAGGTTACAGTTGGGACCACATGGAGGCTGACACTGTCTACACTGCATCAAGTGTAAGGCACTAGCCAAATCTCCCACCAGAACTTCATCCCCCTTAATTTGGTTCTTCTTTCAGTATGATATTTAGGCTTCTCCATTGGAGGTTGTTGAATTGATGATTGGTTCAAAAGGAGTGGTTCTTGGCTAATCTTACACAGATAACAGTGACACAAAACACACAATCCTTCCAGAAGCAACAGAAGATAGACATAGGGTCATCCCTCACAGACAGCCAGACACTGGGAGAGAGATCCAATGGATCTACTGACTCAGGACCATAGTATTGGGGAACATCAGACTCAGTTGGCACAACAAAATACATAAAAGTCTTGTTCTTCGTCCTGCATTGGTGAGTAGCACCTGGGGTCTTAAAAGCTTTCAAGCGGCAATCTAAGATGCAGCAAATGGTCTCCTAGCATCAGAAGTGGAGAAGAGTGCAAAAAAACAAGGGCATTTGGAAGCAGTCAGCCCTATGACATGATAACCCTTGAGACCAGAAGAATTGGATGTTGCCTGGCTACCAATGCCAACCACTCAGAAAAGGATCAAATCTGGAGATCCTTGATAGAGTGGAAGAAAAAATGTGGAACAAAATCCAAAAACCCAATAATGAACAGAATTACAGGTTGGATGGAGTCTGGTGAGACCCATAATACTATGGGCCTACAATATATTCTGGGCTTGGAATAAAACTTACTCCCAGGGGCTGACTCTCACCCCAGTAGTAAACAAAATGTACACACAGACCACTCAACCCAGGGTGATACACCCACATACTCTGTGGAAATACATTCCTTGGAGCAAGACCAGTGCAGCAACATTCATGTGGAGGAAATGCAGGACACACAGGAGTGCATAACTAATAGGAGCACTGGGGGGAGGGTTACTGGCAGGGAAGGGAGGAGACTGGGTTAGGTTGGGGATGGTAAATGGGGAGTGAAACTAAATGTACATGAAATGTTGAATGTAAAACAAACTCTGCTCTGTAAACTTGCATCTAAAGCACAATATAAATAAATGAATAAGAAGAAAAAAAGGAGTAGTTCTCGATGGCTAAAGAACACCCTTCTGATGATACTTTTTTGACAGGCTGGGATCATCTGTCAGCTCAACGCACGCACCTCTATCCTGGCAGCAGCCAATCCTATAGAGTCTCAGTGGAATCCCAAAAAAACCACCATTGAAAACATCCAGCTGCCTCACACATTATTATCAAGGTATTAAAACATTTCTGTATAATTTGTTGTGGTGGTGGTACTCTTATTTTCCTCACCCATAGACCTTAGGATGAAAGTGAAGGAAGGAAATAGTACTTAAATTCAGCAACTTAATATTATGAACTCTTCACTCTAAAATAAAATGTTTCAGTTAATGGTTGGTTAGGAGTTTTGGGGACAAGGAATATATGTTTCTTTCCCCACCTGTGGTTAGCACCAAGTATTTACGTTTTAAAGCAATTAGGAAATTTAGTTTTGAAATCTTTTTTAGATGCTGCAGATAGCCACTTCACCCAGTAGATGCTTCTGAAAAATTAGGTTTATTAAAGTAAAGTCTTATAAATCTACACTTTTTCTCAACTCACTATTCCAGATGTTGATAAATTTAATAAATGTATTATGGATTTTAGATTTTAATAACGTGATTGTTCTTCTTTTTTACCAACTAGAATCCCACACACACATACCCTCTACTAAAACAGAATGTATCTTCATTCAAATTCAAAAGTATAGTAATATTTTCTCTGGGGAGCTCTTTTTTGACTTGGCTGCCAGAACAAAGGGCTAGCAGAGCAGGGAGCCTACTCATGACAGTGAAGGACATTTCTTCCCTCAGTGATCCTTACCAAATGCACATTTTAAAGTTTGCTCTTCAGTACTGTGGGGCTGAAGAGCAAGCTTTAAAATTACATTTATAAGTATATTTGCAAACCAATTAAAATTGTGTTTTATTTACTCTTCCAGGTTTGATTTGATCTTCCTGATGCTGGACCCTCAGGACGAAGCCTACGACAGGCACCTGGCCCACCACCTGGTAGCACTGTACTACCAAAGCGAGGAGCAGGCAGAGGAGGAATTCATGGACATGGCAGTCCTACGGGACTACATTGCCTATGCACACAGCACCATCACACCGAAGCTGAGCGAGGAGGCAGGCCAGTCTCTCATCGAGGTAGTACAGCACTGGTAGTATAGTGTGAGGAATCTTCTAGAAACCAAACTCATTGCCCTTGAGTCAATTTCAACTCATAGCGACCCCCGTTGGGTTTCCAAGGCAGTAAATCTTTACAGAAATAGATTGCCTGATCTTCCTTCCACGGAGTGGCTGGTGGGTTTGAACCACCAACCTTCTGGTTAGCAGTCAAATGCCTTACCCACTGCGCCACCATAGCTCCTGTCTTAGCATTGAAGCAAAGTAAATACGCTCAGTCATCTTCTTTAAAACATTAATTATTTTGATGAGAATAGATAGATAGATGTGTTGTATAAGTATTAATTTTTTTCCTCCTCTGATACGAAATTGATTTCCAAACATAGAAAGAGGAAAAGAATTAATTGGTATATGTTGTATGTACACTTTTTATATTTAAATAATTATAAGTGAATTTAAGATTAGAAGACCTGAGTTCAAATACAAGTGTTATTACTTAGTAACTTTGTAACTCTTGGCAAGGCGTTAAAACTTTGATCGGCTCATTTCTAAAAATGAAAATGAATTATAAATATTTAATGTTCACTTTTCAATATCCTGCTCTGTCATTTGAGCAGTACCCGCCTGCACATTTTAGGTTATGGAAACATTTTGTGATGAGAAAGTTTTCAGTGTTTTGTGGGCTTTATATTCTGACAGCTTTCAAAATTCTCATTGAGTCGACATTGATTCATTGCAACCTCATATTGTAGGGTAGAATTGTGCTCCATGGGATTTTCGTTGGGATATTTTTTGGAAGTAAATCGCCAGGCATTTTTCCCCAGGTGCCTGTGTGTGGACTTGAACCTCCAATTTTCAGTTAGCAGTGAGCACATAAACTGTTTTAAATCTGCTACTACATATTCAGTGAGGGTTGTTCACGAAGAAATGAAATTATGTCATCTGTTTAATACACTTATCTTTGTAACATCATCCCTATTATCCTTAGCATGTCTGGTTGAGTGGATCGTCACCTAGAAGTGGCATTTGGAGTCAATGCCTTGGCCTTTTTTAGGCATGCACTCTACCCTCATGCTCATAAACCTTTTTCAGTGTCTCCACTGTTGGTTACATTTTTCATACCATACATCATTTCTCCTTCTCCAAGAAGTCTTCATAAATATTTTCCAGTCAGAATATTTACAGCTACCATTTCCTGCCAGGCGTTGGGAGTTTGTCCTAAAATTACTGTGATCTGTATGTCTATCTGCCACTTGATGGTAACCTCTGAGGCCTCAAGCTCTATCTGCTTTCATGTCCTGGTGCCCCAATGCGGCAGTGGGCTGTGATCTATTTATTTAAAGTAATCCTGACTCTGCTGCACATTTTAACCACAAAACGGTTTGTTGTTATCAAAGGGTTTTTCTTTTGTGTTTTTTACCTGTACTAGGCTTATGTAGACATGCGGAAGATAGGTAGTAGCCGCGGAATGGTTTCCGCATACCCTCGACAGCTGGAATCATTAATTCGTTTAGCAGAAGCCCATGCTAAAGTACGGTTTTCAAACAAAGTTGAAGCAATTGATGTTGAAGAAGCAAAGCGCCTTCATCGGGAGGCTCTAAAGCAGTCTGCAACCGACCCCCGGACTGGCATTGTGGATATATCTATTCTCACCACAGGTGTGTTGTAGCATAAAATAAAAAAAACATTCAAAGCTGACTTACATGCATATGTAACTAGTATTTCATTTAAGGTAAAGGATAGTTCATTTGGAATAGAGGTTCTGTTCTTAACCTTTTAAAGATCAAGACACCTTGGAGAATCTGATAAAAGATGTTTAATATTCTCTTGAAAAAAAATACAGTAAACACACAGTGTTATATCATTTTAAGGGGATTCTATCTCTCATCTGCTGTATAGGGAAAACTTATTTTGTCTAAGAGCAAAAACTATCACTAAAATACCAGCAACTCTCTGAAGATACATGGGAACAATCATATAGCATATTAACCCATTTTAAAGAAATAATTTATTTGTTAAGAAACAAATGACTGTGTTTGCTGTAGAGATTATATGGAACATAGCAGCTATTAGGTTATAGAAAATTATAAACAAAATTCAAAACTCACTATGCTTTTGAATGTGTGTTTTGACATTAGCCACTGTACTTTTACCTCTCTTGGCTTGGCATTTCCACTGTTGAGAGCTTGAGACTTAGGTGAGCAATGGAGAAAAGTCACTTAAAATTTATATGAAAGTATTTCAAACAAGTGTAAAGCAGAATGGTAGACCTATTTTTAGGGTACATGTCAGAAAGAACAGTAACCTAAACACTCTAAAGGGGATATTTATGGAGATTTGAAACATAACACTTTTATACATGAAATTATTTTATAATCAGGAATGAGTGCCACCTCTCGTAAACGGAAAGAAGAATTAGCTGAAGCTTTGAAGAAACTTATTTTGTCTAAGGGCAAGACACCAGCACTAAAATACCAGCAACTTTTTGAAGATATCAGGGGACAATCAGACATAGTAGGTGTTTATATTTATAATTTTTGTACTTAATAGTTTTTGGGTTTTTTTCCCCTTAATACTGCTTTTAGGGTTGTTTTGTTTCTTTTTCCTACTTTGTTAATCGTTTAAGTAATAAATGCAGATAAGAATAAAGAAGACTTAACCTAACATCAAGAAATATTCATGATTAAAATTTTGTTACACCCCTTTCAGAGTTTTTTTATGTGTGATCTTTTCTTTAAAAAAGGGGACAACATCAATATTAGTTATACTGTTCATAACTTTTGTTTTCTCCTCTGAATTAAAAGTATATTATTAACATCTTTCAATGTTGGTAAATATACCTCAGAACATTATTCATAATGATTGGGTAACATTCTGTTGCGTGCATATTCCCTCATTTACTGACCAGTTGTTGGACTTTGGTGTTTGCACTTGTTTGATGTTAAAATGTGCAACATCTTTCCTCATAAATCAATTATTTGCATTTATACCTAGAAATCAAACTATTGTGTTAAAGAACATATGTATTTTAAAGAAGCTCTGGTGGCACATTGCCTAAGGCATTTGACTATTAACCAGAAGCTTGGTGGTTCAAACTTGCCAGCCAGTCCGTGAAAGGAAGGCCATAATCTACTTCTATAAAGGTTTACTGCCTCAAAAACCAGTGGGAGTTGCTATGAGTCAGAATCAACTCAGTGGCAGTGGGTTTGGTTGTTTTTTTGTTTTTGTTTTTGTACTTTAAAGGCTTTTGGTAGCCTTTGACACTGAATCCTTGGGTGGCACAAAGTTAATGTACCCAACTGCTAACTGAAAGATTAGAGCCTGAAGTCCACTCAGACACACCTTGGAAGAAAGACCTGGTGATCTTTTTCTGACAAATTGGCTATCAAAATCTTCTGGACCACAGTTCTACTCTGACACACATGGTATTGTCATGACTCAGAATCTACTCAACAGTAACTGGTTTGTCACTTGGTAAATTTTAACCTTATCGTTTATTTTGGGAATGAAATATTCAGGTGTCTTTTTATGAGTAATTAAAGTTGACTTGTTCTGTGAAAAGAACAACAGCCCAAATCCAGCCCTTGAGCTACTTTGCAGCACCTGCTCATTGATGTATTGTATGTGCCTGCTTTGGTTTTACAGGGGCCAGATTGAATAGATACAACAGAGCCACCAAAAAGAGAAAGAGATTAAATGTTACTTAGACATTAAAATTGTCTAATCTCTATCAGTTATTAAAGAATTTGACATATCTAATATTTATTTTCCTCTTCCTTGAAGGCAATTACCAAAGACATGTTTGAAGAAGCTCTGCATGCCTTGGCTGATGATGACTTCTTGACAGTGACTGGAAAGACTGTCCGCTTGCTCTGATGATACTGGGGTGATACTGTGCTCTGCTTCTCTGCTATCAGGCATTTGACTTGCTTACATTATACATGCTACTTATGAACCAATAAACCAAAACCCCTGTCATTGGTTTAGATTCTATCATAGGAATCAATTTTCTTAGTGAAGAATGTGGTTTCTTTTTTTTTTTTTTTTAAGGTTTTAAATAAAAATATTGTACCAGTTTAGAACCAGATATCCAGTAGAGATTATTTTCTTGAAATGTGGTTTTTTAGCAGCAGGACTTCTTTAATTTGGGTATGTATGGGTCTGTGTACATGGGTAGCACTCTGTCAGACTTTTTTGAAGATGACAGTGTGGAATCGGGACTTTTTTGTGCTAGACTTTTTAATAGCGATTGTCCATATGCTTGAGGTTCTGTAATAAGAGACATTAACCCTGTTAACCAGGGCATATACTTCCATGTGAGTTAATTGAAAGACTTAGACTATGTTCCCTTTTACAGTGCCCAAGTTTAATCCTTTTTTGAGGCTATCCTGTTTCGTTGTCATGGCTACTAGAAGAGATGAAAGTCAGAGTAGTTTAAAAGGTAGTTGGAAATGATTAGGCTTCACCTTTTGCCACTCACCTTAACCTATGGTAAACCTTTTTCCTAAATAATACTACTACTATATTTGGCATTATTTTTCATTAAAAAAAATTAATAAGCACATTACTGAGAATTCACTGTTGTTATATACTGTTGAGTCAGACCCAACTCATAGCGACCCCTCGGGTTTCCGAGGCAATATCACTACGGAAGTAGATTGCCCCATCTTCCTTCCAAGGAGTGGCTGGTGGGTATGAACCGCCAGCCTTCTGGTTAACAGTCAAGTGCCTTAGGCACTACGCTACCAGAACTCCCACAGAATTCACTGTGGTACTTTATAAATGTACATAAAAAAGCTCACTCTAATATAAAGAATTTTAATTTACTCAAATAGTTAAATAGTACCAATCAATATTCTTCTAAAATAATTTCTTTTTAGAAGCAACACAAGGCTGAAATAAAAGATGTCCCAAATGTCCTGGTTTTCCAAACCACTGTACCACTTCTTCATCTCTAACATCAACTACACCTCCTCCCCTTAGTACTCTCTCTCATTTTAGGGTTCCAGAATTCACCGCATCGTCTCACAGAATTCATGAACTACCAAGGAAATGGCTCATGCCTTTGTAGAGGCTGTCAAGTCCCAAATCCGTGAGTCAAATGTCAGTCTGGAGGATTCTCACTTAAGTGGTTGCAGGGAGGGAATGAAGAACCCAAATCATTAGGTCAGGCAGCAGTAAAATAAAAACAAAAAACTTCGTAAAGTTTATGTTCTACATCCTAGTTCACTGAGTAACATCTGGGGTTTAAAAGCTTTCAAGTGAACATCTGAGATACAGCTATTGGTCTCTACAAGTCTGAAGCAAAAGAGAAAGAAGGAAACAAAAGGCTCAAAAAATTAGTTCAAAGGACTAATAGTGTACTTCGTGAACCAAGGCCTTATCTGACCTGGGACCATAAAACTAAATGGTGGCCAGTTACCACTAACCTACTGTCCTGACTAGGGATACCACCGAAGGTCCCATATAGAATGAGAAAAATGTAGAACAAAACTCAAATCTTAAAAAAAAAAAAAAAATGCCAGGTTTACTAGACCAATAGAGACAGAGGAACCCACAACAGTTGCCCTAAGATACTCAGAACTTGGAACTGAAGCCACCCTTAGAGGTAGGTCACTTTTCATTCAAAGAATAGATTGACTTAAAAAGTAAACATCACCTGTGCTTACTGTCATCACTTAAATAATCAGTGATATGAGACCAAATGGTCAACATTTACCCTAAAGCCAAGATGAGATGGTAAGGAGGGGCAGAGAAGCTAAAGTAATGAAAACAGTGGAAATAATGAGAATGGTGACACATTATGAAATATGTAACCAATGTCATTGAACTATTTGTATAAAAATTGTTGAATGGGAACCTAATTTGCTGTGTAAACTTTCACCTAAAACAAAAAAAAAAAGTAGTTTTTCAAAAATTAATCTATATGAGACCAAATGGTCAACATTTACTCAAAAGTAAAGATGAGAAGGTACGGGGTGGTGCAGGGAAACTAGATTAATGGAACAACCAGAATAATGAGAATGTTGACACATTGTGAAAAATGTAACCAAGTCACTGAATAGTTTGTGTATAATTTGTCACAATTGTCACCTCATTTGTTATATAAACCTTCACAGAGAACAATACTATTTTTAAAAAGAAGAATCATGGTTACTATCATTTTTCTTCAGCTTACGGAGTTGTAAAATAACTCAGAGACAACAAAAGGCACAGAGATATCAAAAGGTCAGATAACCCACACTATACCTAATTTTTCATCATGCTGTTGCCAGCCGCTGTTGACTCCCAACTTACAGTGACCCCTTGCGTTATAGAACAAAACATTGCCCAGTCATCTGCAGATTGGACTGTTGTGATCCTTGGTTTTCCTTAGCTGATTTTTGAAAGTAAATTGCCAGGCCTTTCTTCCTAGTCCATCTTAGCCTGTAAGCTTTAATAAAACCTGTTCAACATCACAGCAAAGTACAAGTGTCCACTGACAAATGAGTGGTGGTTGCATATGAGGGGCATTGGCCAGAAATCAAACCCAAGGCTCCTGCGTGAAAGGCAAGAATTCTACCACTGAACCACCACTGAGTTCCTGGATGGCACAAGTGATTAACATGCTTGGCTACTAGCCAAAATGGTGGGGTTTCAAGTCCACCCAGAGGCACCTCAGAAGAAAAGGATGGTTATCTGCTTCGGAAAAAAAAAAAAGCAGCCCCTGATACACTTGTGGAGCACAGTTCTACTCTGATAACACATAGGGGCAGGTCACCATGAATCAAAATGGACTCAACAGCAACTGGTTTGATTTTGGTTTAAAATTTGCTGTGTTATTAAAGTTTCTGGTGTCAAGGAGAGAGAAACACACGTGAAAAGCATATAGTGTTGGCCTCCGTAAAACAGCCTTTTTGATAACATGCTAGGAGTATGTTTATCTTAAACTAAGGAATTTTGTCTTGTAGCTTTTTTAAGTAAATTGCTGACATCCTGAGGGCATGTTTTCTACGGGTAATGAAAACTAAAAGCAACCTAAAGCTCAGTGGCTGGCAGGAGGGCCAGTGGTGACCAGTGTTACAAGGGTCCTGTTCTGCATATAGAAAATGTGTGTGTAAATAAATATACATTCTTTCTTTCCTTTGTATACAAATGGTAGCTTCTGTACCTTGAATTTTTTTTAACTTAATGACGTATCTTTGAGACCTTTTAATATTAAAAGATGAAGAGTTTATTTATTTATTTATTTATTTTGCTGCATATTATCTATTGTGGGAGCTCTGGTGGTGTGGTGCCTAAGGCATTTGACTGCTAACCAGAGGCTGGTGGTTCAAACCCACCAGCCACTCCTCAGAAGGAAGGTTGGGCAATCTACTTCCATAGTGATAGCGCCTCGAAACCCAAGGAGGGGTTGGTGTGAGTCAGATCTGACTCGGCAGCAGTGAGTTTGGTTTTTTATTATCTGTTGTAAGGATGTACCACAACTTATTTAATTAGGCATGTGTTCATAGATAATTTAGGGAATTTCCAATCATTCACATGTATGATTATATCTGCACTGTAAATTCCCAGAAGTGAACTTGCTGATTCAAAGAACATGTATATGTTATAGACGTTACCCAGTTGATTTCCTTAGAAGCTGTACCAATGCACTGTCTGTGGAATTGACTGTTTCCACAGCCCCTCTCCAACACAGTGTATGGTATTTAAGTGTAGTTATAATTTGCATTTCTTTTATTGTAAATGAGAGTGTGCCACTTTGCAAGGCTATTTTTATTTCCTATGCTGTTAATCCATACCCTTTGTCCATTTTTCTGTTGTTAGGTGCAGTAGAGTCAGCTCTGACTCAGCAACCCCATGCACAACAGAACTAAACACTGCCTGGTCCTGTGCCAGCCTCTCAATCCTTGATATACTTGAGCCCATTGTTGCAGCCACTTTGTCAGGCTCATTGAGGGCCTTCCCTTTTTTGTTGACCCTCCACTTTACCAAGCATGATATCCTTCTCTAGAAAATGGTCTGTTCTGACAACATGACCAAAGTAGGTGAGATGAAGTCAGGTCATTCTCGCCTCCAAACAGGTGTTTTGCAGCAGACTTGCCCAATGGAATACATCTGATGTCTTGACTACTGCTTCCATTGGTGTTGATTGTGGAACCAAGTAATATAAAATCTTTGACAACTGCAGTCTTTTCTCCATTTATCATGATGCTGCTTATTGCTCCAGTTGTGAGGACTTTCATTTCTTTATGTTGAGGTGTAATCCATACTGCCGACTTCATCAGTAAGTGCTTCAAGTGATCCTCACTTTCAGCAAGAAAAGTTGTGTTGTCTGGATATTGCAGGTTGTTGATGAGTCTTCCTCTGATCCTCATGCCACATTCTTCATATAATCCAGCTTCTTGAATTATTTGTACAACATACAAGTTGAATATGTATGGTGAAAGGATACAAGCCCTGACCCATTCCCTTCCCGATTTTAAACCATGCAGTATCCCTTTGTTGTGTTCAAACGACAGCCTCCTGGTCCATGTACAGGTTCCTCATGAACACAATTAAGTGTTCTGGAATTCCCAGTCTTCTCAATGTTATCCATAATTTGTTATGGTCAACCCAGTCTTTTGCATAGCCAATAAAACACAAGTAAACATCTTTCTGGGATTCTTTGCTTTCAGCCAAGATTCATCTGACATCAGCAATGATATCTTTCGTTCCATGTTCTCTTCTGAATCCGGCTTGCATTTCTGGAAGTTCTCTGTCAATATACTTCTGCAACAGTTTTTTAATTGTCTTTAGCAAGATTTTACCTGTGTATGATATTAATGATACTGTTCATTAGTTTCCACATTCTGTGGGATCACCTTTCTTTGGAATAGGTATAAATATTAATCTCT